ATTATGCAGAGTCAGGCTTGATTTTTTAGTAATCTTTTCCTGTTAAACCAATTAATCAAATCAAATCAATGTTAGTTTTAAATATGCAGTTGAGGGTCATCATTGTTTGGCACAAAGACATGTTACAACTAAAAATAAATCAACAAACAATAAATAATATAAAAGTAAAAGGCACCCCTAAAGTCATTGGATATGATAAATTGTGTCACATTAATTAGCCTTATCTTAGCTGTAGCAGTGAGTTTAAAAACAGGATGATGGAACAAGTTTAATGAATAATTTGTCTCTGAAATAATTATTAAATCAAGTGTTAATTTGTGTAGGTAAACGCATGTTTAACAACCTGGTAAGATACACAAAAATGCAGGAGATGGCATCTATTTCATTCAAGATTTTCTGAGGAAGGACTCCCAGAGCCACCCCTCCAACACACACACACACACACACTTTTAAAATGGTTCTGCACCCGTGTTTATAAGGTAGTCAGTGCCTGTATGAGGACACAAGGAAATGACTAAAACACAAAGTTCTGCAGAAAATTTCAAGTAAAAAATAATGTAATTTTCCTGGCCACCCCTGAGAAAAATGTCTGGCTCCGCCACTGCCTAGTGTGAACATAACAACAAAGCAACTATGTAACAAAAATATAAATAGAATAATTTCAACGACACAACAAAAATATCTTCAATGGAAAGGGTTTCGGCCATGACTAACTCCAAACTATTTGGCGAGTCGACAGAATAAGGTGAAAAATAATGTCAGGAGTGCAAATGAAGTGCAAACAAACATATTGATCTCACCACACTATTGATCCGATACTGATGCTCATCCTGATATCGATACTTACGTCAACACGCCCACCCCTTGTAGAGCTGGGCACGATCTTAGAGAATTTCACAATATTTGGATTAAACTTTGGCATTAACTGTTGGTGTCAAACCCTGTCTTTCTGTTAATAAAGTATTGTATGAACTGCAACATTAACCAACACAAAATCAACTCTTAACTCAGTTTTATATACATGAAGCTACAACTTGGTGTGGTAGTCGCTGAGAGTCATTCCCAACACACACAATAGTCCAAGCACAAATAACATGAGATCTCGCAGAATTATGTAAGATTGCACAAAATATTTGAAGTTAGMCCAAAGCTACAATCCAATCATTTCTCAACATAAGCTGATTTTACTATTGTGTGAAAGGCAGTGGGTGATATGCATTATTTAACTCCTTCCTGTTTCACCTTTAATATTAAAAACACTAGAAAGGTTTTCAGTTTGAGTTTTGATGTACTAGTTGTGTATTATGTCTTCAACTTTTCTTACAGAAACCAATACTTTCCTAACTTTTCCTCAAAATTGTCCAAAATAGTTGAAAATATGTTTTTCTCCCATTAGAAAAAAGGTAAATATTTTACTATAATTTATTTATAAATATTAAACATAATCTCTTCTGCAAGAAAAATCCACCAGGCCACTATATGACTTGTATGTGTAAATAATTATGTTTAAATATAAAAATAAGAACATTTCATTGATGGGATAGATTGGATCAATAAAATCTTCTTTGTTTTATAAATGCCTTTAACTTCACATAGTATCCTGAGCAGAATCAGCTCTGAAGGCTCAGAGTTTCCACTTTTTATTAAAAGACATATATTTGACCGACTGAGTCTGGGCCCTGTTCAGATCCCAGTGAGCTCAAAGAGAAAGTTTTCTCCTGTAGCAGAAAGCTGTCAAAACATTTTTATAGTGTCTATAATTGTGCACGCATACACACTCACACTCATTTTGTGCAAATTCAACAAGTTGATGAAAAGCAAAAACAGGCCAAAAGCCATTTCTCCTTTAAAAGAACTTTTTACTATTTTAACGTCTTGTGTGTTTTCATTTTATATTTTTAAATTTTGAGTGTAAGGTTTATATTTTTATTAAAGCATTTAAATTTCAAAACTTAATCATTGAGTTTTATTAATGTAAACACAACACCCAAAACCTGTGGGTTTTATGCACACTTGCATCACATACCAGTCTACTGTTCACTGTAAAAAATGAAATGTTGGATTTACTTAACCATGTTATGTTACCTGGTTCCACTTAACTGAGTTGAATAAATTCAAAGCAATATACCAGTTTTTTAGCCAAAGAACATGAGTATGTTGCTTTGAATTTACTCAACTCAGTTAAGTGGAACCAGGTAACATAACATGGTTAAGTAAATCCAACATTTCATTTTTAGAATGCAGGTTTCATCGTTATTCTGGTTAAGGGATTATGTGTTTGTTTGTTTGTTTGTTTGTTTGTTTGTTTGTTTGTTTGTTTGTTTGTTTGTTTGTTTGTTTGTTTGTTTGTTTGTTTG